CCATCAACCTCCCCTTCATCTCGAACACCATCAACCTCCCCTACATCTCGAACACCATCAACCTGCCCTTTATCTCGAGCCCCATCATCCTCACCTTCAACTCGAACACCATCAACCTCCCCTTCATCTTGAACACCATCAACCTCCCCTCGTCCTTTATTTTTTAACACAATCAACCCCTTCCATCTCGAACACCATCATTCTCCCCTTCATCTCAAACACTATAATTCCCCACTTTGCATCTTTAACACCATCACCCCCCAGTCATTTTTAACTCGAACACCATCAACCTCCCCTTCTTCATCTCCCCCACACTTCATCTTAACCACTATCACCCCCAATGACTCTTCATCTTGAACACCGTCACTGTTCAACTATTCATCTCAATCACCACCGTTCCCTCATATCTTCATCTTGATCACAATCATCACCCCATATCTTGATCACCCCCCTTTTTTCATCTCAATCACTGTGATCCCTTTCTTCATCTTGAACACTTTCAACCCAACCCCGCTCTTCATTTTGAACACTGTTATCCCATCCCCCTCTTCATTTCGAACACTGTTCCACTCCCACACACTCTTTCTCTGGATCACAGGCATCCACTCCTTTCTTCATCTTGACCACTGTCATCCCTCCTGTTCATCCTACGATTACTGGCACTGCCACCCTAGATCTAAATCACCATCAGCATTATAAAATAATAATCAATACACTTGATTCTACACATCTGAATATAATACAATGCATTTCATCCAAAAGAAAGTTAAAAAAAAGTAATGTTGCTGTGTCCCTTTCGTCTCTTTACAGATGTGCAGTAGTTTCTACCATTCCAGCAGGACAGACGTTCAGCTACTCGTGTAATGGGATGCAGGGACGTTACGTGTTTGTGGATATTAATGCACCTTCAAGCATTCTTACTCTCTGTGCTGTAGGAGTCTTTGTGGTTTTTCCAGGTAATTCTACTTCTCAATTTAATAAATAGCAAACTGTTTACTTTCACTTTCAATTGTTTGATTGCTTTGCAGATGGTTGAGAGGGAGAAAGACAGAGAGAAAGACATAGAGACATATATGCAATACACTGATTCACACACATACAGTTCAGCCAATTTAGCTTACTCAATTCATCTATACCTCATGTTTTTGGACTTATGGGGGAAACCAGAGCACCCGGAGGAAACCCATGTGAAGACAGGGAGAACATGCTAACTCCACACAGAAATACCAACTGACCCAACCGAGGCTTAAACCAGTGACCTGTATGCAGTGTGCATCTCCTTACTTCCGTGTGCTTCCGTGTTGCTGTAGATGGTGTATTCTAGGAAATTATCTTACCGCTTGGTATCGAGTGTGTACATGAAAAATCTCTGTGGCAAGGGCTATCTACCCCTTCCTCTTAGCGAGGGGTGAGGGCAAGGGAAAAGGCTAATGCTGTGTTCACACCAGACGTGGAACAAGCGGATAAATTGCGCTACTTGCACGCAGAGAGACACGTGTCAAAATTAAAATCGATTCAATCGCGCGTCACAATCCACTTTATTCGCATGTCAAATTCACTTCATAATAGACGTGGATACCCATCATGGGCAGGGCTTCTGTCTGCTCGGTGGCTGTAGCTTCGTTGCTAAAAGGCTAGCATGGATATTTTTGAGAAAATAACTGTGTTTATGTGCTTTATTAAGGCTGAAAAACAGTTTGGAGTGCATGAGATCCTTTCAAAGGTGCATCCAGCTCTGTGAGCTCATAAACTCCTCCAGAAACGAAACCTGCATGATGGAAGCATTCAGCTGTGCTTCTGACTGAGCCGAGCCCAGTTTGATGAACAGTTGTCTTGTCGGCAGGAGGATTTTCCCCTGGGACACCAACAACAGGCGCTACTTCATAATCACATCCTCACAAGAGCAAGCTCCTGATAGGATAACACGGCACGAATGTCCGCTGAAGTTCAGATTTTCAAACTTGAGCGATTCGTGCAAAACGCGCGTTAACCCAAAGCAATCTCACGGCAATTCATAACTTTTTAAATTAAGGGCTAATTCGTATGAATTCTTACGATCTATTTTGCCACGCCTCCTTTTTAAAATCGTACGGTTTTGTACTACTAAAACAAAGTCATACGAACTGTCATACATGTGAAACAGTCTCTTAATGTTATGACTGACAGCTATACTAATCACGTTTCCTTTTGTGCAGCACCATGTTTACGGGAGTGTAAATGTCCTCAGTATAACACCCCGTCACACCACTGTGCATCTTTCATTCATGAACCTTTTTAAAAGTTGACTGAGTTAAAGCTTTCTTTCACAAAATAACTGAGAACATGAGCAAATGTGTGTGTTTGTCAGAAGCTTTTATCTAGAGAGTAATGCATCCTTTTAATAATCCAGCGTTTAAGTTAAATTGATAAATGCTCATGGTCACAAAGTTATCCTCACAATAACAGACGGGCAAACTGAGGCTGAGAATATAGACACGATCAAGTGCAGTCAGGAGCACTCACACTAATCAAACAAACAGGCATATGGAAGTCAAACATGCCCGGGTATTTTTTCTGAGATGTACAAGACACCTTTTGTAAACTGAAGAAAATCTCCCCTGCTTAAATCCAACTCTTGTCAACATCACATTTTCCAGATAATTTGGCAACAGGTAAAAACGTGATGCAGTCATCAACCTACAGCTCCTGGATTCCTGAACAGGCCATTGATTTCAATCCAGGATTATCAGATCCATCAATAGGGTGTTCCTCAACCAATGGTCAAACTGACCCATGGTGGAGGCTGGATCTGGGCCACATTTACCAAGTGAGTACAGTAGTGGTCACTAACAGACTAAACTGCTGTCCAGAACGAATAAACGGAGCCGAGATTCACATCGGAAACTCTTTGGAGAACAACGGCAACAACAATCCCATGTAAGAATCTCTTATTAATAACAAAATCACCTGATTGCTCAAATATTAAAGACTAATGCTGTTTTCTCCTCAGATGTGCTGTGATTTCCAGTATTCCTGCTGGAGTTTCTGCCACCTTCGCCTGTAACAATATGGAGGGTCGATATGTGAGTCTGTTGATTCGTGGAGAGATGAAGTATATCACTCTGTGTGAAGTGGAGGTCTATGGACAAGGTGGGATCAAACAGTCAATTCTTTACTTCTTTACAACAATATATAGACTCATTTCAACTATTAAATTAAAGCTGGATTAGTTATAAACAGACATTTTGACAATTTCATGCTCTCAGCAGTCAGTAAATGTTTACCTAGTAGGGGTGGGAGATAAATCGATATTGTAATATATTGTTGTGCTTTCTGTCACAATAAAAAAATCGATCTAACGGCCAACATCGATAGTTTATTGCACAAAATTATCAATTTATCCATTGTCAGTGTTGCTGGTTGGGATGGGGGTAGGGGGGCTGTGTGAGTAAATAGGGGTAAAGTGGCGGAAGCCACAGTGAATAACACAAGTTAACTAACAACAACAGAGAAGAAACGCAGAAATAAGAGTAGCCTGCTAGTTTCCACTCTAAAGTGAGGAGACACTTTGGGTTTTACGAGACAGTCGACGGAAAGGCACTGGATAAAAACTATGCAATCTGCAAGAACTGGTTTACAAAGATAAAATATAACAGCAACACTACGAATCTGTGAATGCACCTCGTTCGCTAACACGGTGAGCTACTGAGGGCACACCAAGTCAGCCGACAATCAATACTACTTTACAAGCAAAGCTCCTCTTTGGCTCACAGAGGGCACAGAGTATCACTAATGACCCATTTCCACTGAGTGGTGTAACATAACTGGTAACATATATATTGTAACATATATGTTGGAGGTAAACATTCCATTTAACATTCCATGAAAACGGTCTGGGTTTAATCTCCAGGACAATTCAAATCACTTGGTGACGAAAACTCTGGCTTAGAAATCCCTGGTGACATGTTAACGAGTCTGGGAGACTTCACAGAACCGTCCTAAACCACTCTCTGCTAACGTCAAAAGAACATGGCAGATAAGATAAGAGAAAAAAAAACATCTTTAGTCAGCGTTTTGCTCACAGAAGAAAAAGACATTCCTCTCCAGTGTTTTTTTTATTTAAACAAAGACATTTAGAACCCAAATATCTTGTTTAATTACACTTAACTTTTGTAATGTGTACCATTCCTCATAGTTTATACAAATTCGTACTTTAAGGCTCTGTTTAGTTTAAATAATGTAAGGATGTGAAAAATTATGTTGATGTACTTTTAAACCCCCCATGTTTGGTACCGATGGGTTTCTGCTGACATTTTACAACACATAATGCATAGAGCAAGATCATAACTCGCATTGCTTTATTCTTTAATCCCCTGCATTAAATGCCTCTCCGCATCTTTGGACGGACACTCAAATTTGCATACGAGCAGCCTCGAGACAAAGGAAGGTTTCGCGCTCAAACTTTGCCCTGAAATCATTGGTCAAGAATGCTGAACGGGTTGTCACGTGACCCACAGGTATAACCAGACTGCTCCCAAACATCTGTGCAGAGAAGATCCGAACAAAAAACCCATCAAAGGTGGGCCCTTTGAGGGGCCAGCAGCTCTTCTAAGCCACACTTTTCTTATTTTTCGGCAAAGTAAACTCAGTTTAAAGTGCGATCGTGTTTGTCCGAACTGTATTACAAACTCAACGCATCAAGAAGGAACTCAAAGGAGTTTCATCAGGAAGAGACCCGCATAAAGAGAGAGACCTCCAGACATGAAAGTCCAGGGGCCTCATGTACGAAGACTTGCGTGGAAATCTTACTAAAACATTGCGTACGCACAAAGCTGTAAATGTGCGTACGCAGAAAAAATTTCAGATGTATGAAACACTGCGTACGCCGAATCCCACGCATATTCTTTTGTACATCTGAATGAACGTGAAACTGAGCGCAACATGCACGAGCACAAAACCCCTCCCTGCCTCCTCCCCCGTATGAATATGCTAATGACTATGCTAATGGAAAAACCCAACGAAAAAGCAACGGCAAAATCAAGCAAAAAGAGAAACTTTGAACAGAATGTGAATTGGAGGTGCTGCTTTCGGAGGTAGACCGGAGAAAAGCGGTGTTATTTGCAAGTTTGTTCTCCGGAATTAACAACAAAAGAAAAAAATAGAGTGGGAGAGTTTAGCTGATGCGGTCAACACAGTCGGGTCTGAACATATCGCACTGAGTGCATTAAAAAAAAAAGAAATAGTGTGGTTTATATCTGTAAACTGTTGGAGTACGCTAAACAGTCTCAGTGGCGCGCTCGTAAGACGCTTGTGGTCATGAATTGATACGTTCGAGCATGAATTCGGCTCGAATCCAGCGTCTGATGAACTCTTTCTTGGTTTTTCCCCGCTACATATCAGATTTTGCCAACTATTTATCACGAGAAAGACAAGTAGGAATCATCAATAAGTTCATATCAATAAGCATCATATTTTATTTGCACATTTATTGAATGGAAATGTTTCTGATTCACGCATGCAGATTCATCTTCAGATAGTGTCTTTATAGCAATGTACGTGCGGTAGATCGCTCAGATTACATTTGGAAAACAGGCGACTGCTGCAAATTGTGCTTAAATGTTTAGCTGGTCAAATGTATGGTATGGAAACCTTATATACCTGCTGAACCCGTCTCATACAGCTGCCATTGCAAGGCTCAGACTCTTTGTAGAGAGGAATTTAACACAACTGCCTCTAGGAGTCGCCAATGGAAATAAAACAGACACGCACAAAAAATGTGCGTACGCCTGCCAGAAAGCTGCCGTGAAGGTGCGCACATTCCCACGTTCAGTTCATTGTTAGTAAATCCAAACGTGAGCGATTCTGAGCGTGAAACCTGGCGTACGCAAAGTTTTTGTGCGTATGCAGCGTTGATACATGAGGCCCCAGGTGTTTTTAGTTATGCGAATAAGCTGTGCCCCTTTTATCAAAAAGGTGTTTTTTTATAATCTTGGTGATCCTTAATGGTGTGTGTGGAACTGAAATTTTTGTCACTCTTTATCTGAAATCCCTGTTTCCTCGCAGTACTATTTCCCCTGCCTAGCTGTTATAAGTTGATTAAAACTTATGTTTGATTAATCTACTTCACAAGAAGTAGCAATTAAATTCCCTTTTTCTAAATGAATAGATCATTGCCGTGTCCGCTCGGAAGAGCGGCGGCTCTGCTTGTGTTTGTTTGGTCAAATTAACTATAAATTGATCCGGAATATTAATGATTGATAATAATTCGTTATTGTTGATAATTAATATTCATAATCTGAGAATCCGCTCGGTCGCGCAGGCAGGATATACAATCATATGTTTGTTTGACCAAATTGACTGAAGCTTGTAGTGGTTTTCTTGGTTTTTCTCTTACTAAATCAAACTCAGTCTGGAGGTTATGAATATCAGAAGAATATATTTTATTGTCGACAACAAAGGAGAACTTTCAGGAGACCCCCAGTAGCATCTCTGTCTGAAAAATTCTGTCTCACTCAAATTCTAGCCTGCTTAAATACTCTGTTTTTTCTTTTGTTGTACATATGTCACACAAGACCCCTCCTAGTTTAACCCTTGACTCCAAATTCCACCTCTGTCATCTGTTTTTCCCTTATTTCTACATATGTCACACAAATTCCACCTAGATTAACCCCTGACCCAAACCTGGTAACTATATAACTTATCCAGTTCTTGTGATATGGTAATTCTTCTAATGGTATGCAAGTCTACAAGCAGATTATACACATATAATTTGAATATATAGATTAACTTCACACTTTAAAGAGTATAAAATCCACTTCAATCTTAAGCTGGAATATGAATAATTAAGAATAAACCGTTGTTGTTGATTTTTAATATTCATAAAATGAGCTAATTTCTGTTACAGTGGTACAGTACGGTACGGTACGGTTCGGTACGCTTTTATGGTTTCCACTGTCAAAAGGCTTACCAAACCGAACCGTACCCGAAAGGGTACCAAACACGAGAAAGGGTACCAAAAGGCGAAGCTAGACATGCAGCTGAACGCTATTGGTTTGCAAAGACACGTCATTCGCTTACGCAACAAGCCAATATGAAAACAAAAAAACCTGCCATGTTTGAAATACACAGCCGAGAGATTACAGTGGAATTATATATACATATGACGAGCCATGATCGATCCAGGCTCAAACAAACCTTGTTGTCGTCTTGATGAACAGCCTTAAAGCCATGCAGTAGAGCAGAATCTACCCTTTGCCTTGTAGTTTTTTACGAGCCAGTCTGAATCGCGAGCGGTTTCGCTTTCTTGCTTGCGCTCGCCGCACGTCTATATCTGAAATAATAAACTTGAGCTGATGATAATAAATTTAATGAAAAAAAGGACATTATTTCTCTAGCAAATGCGAACAAACTGTCTTGTTTTAATTTTTATCATCGCCTTTTATACTAATATGAACTGGTGGTATGAATGATGGAGTGACTCTAACAGAGGCTACATGTACTGCTGAAGATTACAGACACAGATAACAGGTTTGCGCTGACTGTGGGCTATATTTTGTGTTGTTTTCAACCTAATTAAGGATGAGAGGTATGCAGTGTGTAGTTTTTCTGTAATAAACAATATATCTGAGACTGTAAGGCTCTGTATGTGTTCATATATGTATGTTCTTTTATTTATATATTTTATATAATTACAGATGTTACAGTAGGCTGTTTTGCACCGTCATTGATCTGCAGTTATAAACAACTCCTGTTTATAGAAAAGTTAGTAATAAACATTTATACAGAAGTATTTATGTGTGTAAAGCATCTGTTTTGTGAGAAGTGCTTTTCATATGATATGTGAGCGACCCGTACAGCTCTACTAGACATTTCCTAGAGCGAGAATGATGTGACTGAAACTTTCTGTTGTACACTAAGCCCACTAAAAGGGTAATCTTGGTAGTGGAAACGTAAGCCTGATAAAGGTGACCAGTACTGACCCAAACCGTACCAGTCAGTGTAAACGAACAATAAGTCCATCACCAAATTTATTTGCAAGGACCTTCGCCCTTACAGCACGGTCGAGAATGATGGATTTTGCAAAATGTTGGCAACACTGGAACTGAGATACGAGATACTGAGTCGTTGACACTTTACAGACAAAGTCATCCCAGCATTGTATGCAGATACCGGAGCCAAAGTGGAGGGTGCGCTCCGGTCTGCTGAACGGCTTGCGCTGAGTTAAAATGCAAATGCATAACTCTTTGCACAATGTTGAAAAAGTTGTCATTAATAAATGCATAAGATTTCCTCATTATGGTTATTTTTTTTCTTTTTCAGTCACATATATTGTGATATATCCTTCATGAAAATTCTTACAATTTATTGAATATTGTAGATATCGCGAATCGTGATTGTTTCATTATCGTGGGCCACATTTCGCCACAGAATTGAATAGTGAGTTACCTGTATTGTCCCACCCCTGTTGCCTAGTTTAATATATATACACAAACACATTTACTTCACATTTGTTTGAGTAGCTTGTGTAGATTTATTTTGAGGATCAGAACAGTTTGCGTTACAAGTTGCACGTCTAGTTTTACGTGACGGATGCATTTGCGTAGGGTTATTGTAGACACAGTGCATCAAAAGTCTTCGCAATATTATACATATGGCAGACATATACATGGCATTTATTTGAAGCATTGGTTATTTATCTGAATTTGACCAATCAGACTTTTAAAATAGCACTCAAGACATTTTGTCATCTCTCTGGTCTCTCTAACCCCACCATCAGCCCTGACACAAACAGCCTTTACTCCTAACCCTGCAGTGTTTTGCTGCTACTTGAGAACCAATTAACTAGTGTTTGTGTGCAGGTCCATGTTTGAAGCAGTCATTGATGAAGCTGAAGCTCAACTCTAGCTTTAGTCTTTCTGAAGTCCGTCTCCTGACACAGGTGAGACACGCAAACATTCTCCAGCCTGAACACATTCATGCTCCTTAACACATCTGTCATTTCAGCTGGAATCTGCTCTGGCACAAAGAGGCTTTTCTGACGTCACGCTGCAATGGACACAACTGCCCAAACAGGAAGTGATACAGAAGAAAGTGGAGCAAGGTCAGTGTGTGAATTAAAACATTATAGACACCATGAAACAGAAGTTAAGTGTTTTTTTTACCCATATTACAAAGTACATCCAATTAAAACAGTCTTGAAATGAGGATTTTGTTCTTTGGGAACTGACTGTATCATTGGAAGATGGGTGTTGCTAACAAACTGAAGCAAGATTGACAAATGAATGAAGTCAGAGCAGAAACAAGATGTTCCCTGACATTCCCACCTTAAAGACTGATATTCCCATTCTAAAGCAGTGTCAAGTGCTCAGGTGTTCACATTTTGTACGTCTTCCTTAATGCACCTAATTCAGATTATCAGCTCCATGATCCATTAACTGATCCCTGTCTGTCAAACAAGAGAGACATAAAAACATGTGCAGTGTAGGGGGTCCCAAGGTACAGAATTGCGAATCACTGACTGATAGCCCCACCCTAAAGGACTGATAGCCCTGCCCTAAATGACTGATAGCCCCACCCTAAAGGACTGATAGCCCCACCCTAAAGGACTGATAGCCCTGCCCTAAATGACTGATAGCCCCACCCTAAAGGACTGATAGCCCCACCCTAAAGGACGGATAGCCCCACCCTAAAGGACTGATAGCCCTGCCCTAAATGACTGATAGCCCCACCCTAAAGGACTGATAGCCCCTCCCCAAATGACTGATAGCCCCACCCTAAAAGACTGATAGCTCCACCCTAAATGACTAAAAGCCCCACCCTAAAGGACTGATAGCTCCACCCTAAAGGACTAAAAGCCCCGCCCTAAATGACTGATAGCCCCACCCTAAAGGACTGACAGCCCCACCCTAAAGGATTGATAATCCTGTCTTTTAGGACTGATGGCACCGCCCTAAAAAAATTGAAAGCCCCATCCTAAAAGACTGATAGCCCCGCCCTAAATGACTGATAGCTACATGCTAAATAATTGATTGCCCCACCCTAAATTACTGATTGTCCCACCTTAATTTACTAAAAACACACCCTAAATGACTTATAGCCCCACCCTAAAGGACTGATAGCTCCACCCTAAATGACTGATAGCCCCTCCCTAAATGACTGATAGCTCCACCCTAAAGGACTGATAGCTCCACCCTAAAGGAATAATAGCCCCGCCCTAAAGGACTGATAGCCCTGTCTTAAAGGACTGATAGCCCCGCCCTAAATGACTGATAGCTACATGCTAAATTATTAATTGCCCCACCCTAAATTACTGATTGTCCCACCTTAAATTACTGATTGCCCCACCCTAAATTACTGATTGTCCCACCATAAATTACTAAAAACACACCCTAAATGACTGATAGCTCCATCCTAAAGAACTGATAGCTCCACCATAAATGACTGAGAGCCCCTCCTAAATGACTGATAGCTACATGCTAAATAATTGATTGCCCCACCCTAAATTACTGATTGTCCCACCTTAATTTACTAAAAACACACCCTAAATGACTTATAGCCCCACCCTAAAGGACTGATAGCTCCACCCTAAATGACTGATAGCCCCTCCCTAAATGACTGATAGCTCCACCCTAAAGGACTGATAGCTCCACCCTAAAGGAATAATAGCCCCGCCCTAAAGGACTGATAGCCCTGTCTTAAAGGACTGATAGCCCCGCCCTAAATGACTGATAGCAACATGCTAAATTATTAATTGCCCCACCCTAAATTACTGATTGTCCCACCTTAAATTACTGATTGCCCCACCCTAAATTACTGATTGTCCCACCTTAAATTACTAAAAACACACCCTAAATGACTGATAGCTCCATCCTAAAGAACTGATAGCTCCACCATAAATGACTGAGAGCCCCTCCTAAATGACTGATAGCTCCACCCTAAAGGACTGATAGCTCCACACTAAATGACTGATAGCCCCTCCCTAAATGATTGATAGCCCCACCCTAAAGGACTGATAGCTCCACCCTAAAGGAATAATAGCCCTGCCCTAAAGGACTGGCTGCCCCACCCTAAAGGACTGATAGCCCTGTCTTATAGGACTGATAGCCCCGCCCTAAAGGACTGATAGCTCCACCCTAAAGGACTAAAAGCCCCGCCCTAAAGGACTGACAGCCCTGTCTTAAAGGACTGATAGCCCCACCCTAAAGGACTCATAGCTACATGCTAAAATATTAATTGCCCCACCCTAAATTACTGATTGTCCCACCTTAAATTACTAAAAACACACCCTAAAGGACTGATAGCCCCTCCCTAAATGACTGATAGCCCCACCCTAAATGATTGATAGCCCCACCCTAAAGGACTGATAGCTCCACCCTAAAGGACTAATAGCCCCACCCTAAAGGACTGATAGCCCCTCCCTAAATGACTGATAGCCCCACCCTAAATGATTGATAGCCCCACCCTAAAGGACTGACAGCCCCACCCTAAAGGACTGATAGCCCTGTCTTATAGGACTGATAGCCCCGCCCTAAAAAAAATGATAGCCCCATCCTAAAGGACTGATAGCCCTGCCCTAAATTACTGATAGCTCCACCCTAAATGACTGATAGCTACATGCTAAATTATTGATTGCCCCACCCTAAATTACTGATTGTCCCACCTTAAATTACTCAAAAAACACACTCTAAAGGACTGATAGCCCCGCCCTAAAGGACTGATAGCCACATTATAATTTACTGATGTCCCTACCCTAAATTACTGATTATCCTGGCCTAAAGGACTGATAGCCATATCATAAATTAATCATTGTCCCGCCCTGAATTACTGTTTGCCTCACCCTGAATGACTGATTGCCCTGCCCCAAATGACTGATAGCCACATGCTAAATTAGTGATGGACCCTCTCTAAATTGCTGATTGTCTCTCCCTAAATTACTGATAGCCCCGGCCCAAAAGACTGATTGCTCTGCCCTAAATTGCTGATAGCCACATCCTAAATGACTGATATCCCCACCCTAAAGGACTGACAGTTAGTAACAGAGTAAAAGATGACAGAATTTTCATTTTTGGGTGAACTATCCCATTAGCATGAACATACATAGTACAAATGAAATGTAAAATGACGTGATTAACTGTTTTATTTACAGCTCACTGTGCTCAAACAAAAAGATGAAGGAAACGCTGAAGTCTGGATTTGCTGTGATCTTAATTCACATGCAAAAAATACATTAAATACAAACATGTGACCAACTGGAGCGACACGATTCCGGAGAAACAGAGAATGAAATAAAAAAATCTGACAAATTGCTAATTTCTGCAGTTTATCTTTTTTTCTTATATGTGTAGCAAACAAACTTTTGAATTTCAAAGGTCATTGTGTGACTGATTACGAGTGACATATTATCAAATTAATGGACTATCATGACAAAGTATGTAAGCACCCAGATTCTAATGCAGGCCCGAAGCCTGATATGCGTGCTAGCTATGATGTGAAAATTGGCCCAAAGCCTGGCCTGAGATGTATAAAAGTCGGGCTCGGGCTCAAATGCAGGGCTGTAAACTGTTGATTTATCAGTGAGGTTTGTGCAGTTATCAATGAAGGATATCCACAGTATCAATCCTTTACTCATGGTCTTGCAATACAAAATGGAGTCGGATCCGGATTGATTACCTTTGCTGTCCGGATCCGGACCAGAGTCCGGACTTTGAGAAGCCCTGCACTATAATATATACAATTTGGACTGCAATACCTAGTTCAACCTCTAGTTGTCCATGCATCACTCTGATTACCAAAAATGGGCAAAGAGGCGGAGCGTGGGTGGAGCTAGACATATGCCTGATTTTATTTTGCTTAGATCAGTTTCTGGAGGTTCCTGTAACTGGAACAGTTTTGTTCCAACCCTATTAAAACACACCTGATCAAACTAATTGAGTCCTTCAGGCTTGTTTGAAACCTTCAGGTAAGTTTGTTGAAGCAGAGTTGGAACTAAACTGTGGCCCTCCAGGAACAGAGTTTGACACTTCTTACTTAGATCTGTTATTCTTTGGGTGAAATGCTTTATATTTCATTAAATGCGACTCATTTGTGATCTAATCACATGTGCTTGGTAGTTTACTATATCAATAAAGTGTTTACTGCGTTTTAATGCATTGAGCCAATGAGCATTGTGTTGTGAGGTTTTTCTACAGTAGGAAAATTATGGTGAACACATCAGTCTTGCTTTCTGTTCCCAGATCAGCATCATCTGTCATTTTCTGAGCTTCTTTCCTAAGAAAAAAGACATCAACATTATTTACATATGCAAAAGGATGGTATGGCTAGTCAAATAGTGCAGAGTGCAAGACAAACACTATAAGCAGATGCTTTTAGAAACACACACACAGTTGTCTTCAGGTTTCAGGTGGATCTTGTGAATCTAAAATGTCCAATGCATTTAATTGTGGTCCAGTTGCAAACACGGACACTCTTGATGTGCTTTTTCATGCGTTTCTAAAAAAGTAATCTGCCAGCATTTACATCTACATTTACATTGATGATTGTTGGGAAATGCTTTCTAAGCAAATGCCCTGGAAAATAAATTGCTGCGAGTGCTGTTTGCATTAGTTTGAATTGTACAAATTGTTCATTTCATCAGAATGGCAAAGTGTCGATATGGTTGTAGAGCGTTTGACATCGTCAAGCAGAAACTGTTACTTAAATTCAAAGTACGGATTAGCTGTACTGCAAACAATGCTTGTCTTACTCTGGGTTTTTGTTGTTTTCAGTGATATTAGGCCAATATTTAGTGAGTTTTTCCTTAAAACAAGTAGAATAATCTGCCAATGGGGTAAACAAAATAATCTAGTTTTTTCCTTTTGACAGAAGATTTTCTTACATAACCCATTGGCAGATATTGTCTTGCTTATTTTAAGGGAAAACTCGTCTCATTTCTGAAAACAGGACAATATTTTCTGATTGTCTAGAAAATGCTTCAAGACGTTTTAGATATTTGAGCTAGAAACAAAGCAAGCTGTAAGATTTTTTATTGTATTGATGAGTAACCCCGCCAGTCCTACACCACCCAACCTGCTCCGAGCTGGGATTGAACCGGCGACTTTCCGCTTGGGAGTCAGTTGCTCTAACATGGAGGCTAAAGACCTTGGCCTCTAGCGTCTGTCGCTAGAGCACCTTTAAAGGACAGAGGAGTGAGATTTACCTGCACAGCACTTACTAGCTGGCCCCCATTACACTCACCCCCCTAAACCTCACTCCCATCCAGGTCACTGCACCAATGTAACCCCACCAGTACTACACCACCCAACCCGCTCTGGGCTGCGTTTCCCAAAAGCATCGTAAGCCTAAGAAGTTCGTAGAAATGATCGTACGACTGATCTTAATATTACGGTCTGTTTCCCAAAAGCATCGTAACTTAAGTAGCACTTGAAAATCTTAGTGGATCTACGAGTGCTCTGGAGTAATCGTAAAGCCTTAAGTGCATCGTAAGGAGACAGAGTTATGAGGGCACCTGCTGGACAACCGGCAAATTGCACCTACAATTTACTTCTCTTCAAAGTCATTATTCATTTTATTTGTACGTATATCTCTATTCATTTATATTTTCTACACATTACACAATTCAATATACAAATAATAATGAATAAAGAAAAAAATAAAAATTACATAATAAATGTTAGAATGAAAAAAAAAATTACACTGTTGTATATGGACATTTCGAGGGTAGTAGGCTACATATGTTGTATTTAACAGAAAATATTTAATGTGATTTAAAGATGACACAAATAAAGGAGGAACTCAAAAAAATGTGTCAATGACTTGCTGACGTGCCCCAAACCCAGCCATGTATTGAACATGTCTTGGCTGATCATCATGAATTCTCATCTCAACTTCATTCTCTTCCTCCACCTCTTCATCTTCCTCCCTGATGTCCAAGGGCACTCTTGCCCTCACTGCAATGTTGTGCAACATAGCTGTTACTGTTATTACAGCACAGCACTTTTGTGGCACAAAGAGAAGACCACCACTGGACTTGTGAATAGCCCGAAAGCGTAGCTTCCACCTTCCTAAAGTGCGCTCCACAGTACTTCGGGCAACACGGTGAGCCTCGTTGAAATGTGCCTCACTGTTACTGACAGGATTAGCAACAGGGGTGAACAGATATGGCCTCAATGGATATCCGCTGTCACCAAGCAGCCTCCAATGTCCGTTTGAGTTTTGGGCCTCTTGACCCACAGATGAGTTGGTAAAGATATAGGAGTCATGTGTGCTCCCAGGCCACCTTGCAACAATGTCTGTGATTAAACAGTTATGGTCACAGATCACTTGGCAGTTGATTGCTGGATAACCTTTGCGGCATATATATGTATGGCCATCCACAGAAGGCGTACTGATGGGAATTAAAGTACCATCAATGACTCCAATGACTTGTGGTATATGGTAATGTGTTAGAAAATACTCCTGAATGTCTGACATGGCCTGTCTTGATGCTGGAAATTTGATGTGTTCAGCTGCAAGTGGAAGCAGTGCATAGGTGACTGCTTGTACAGCTCTGGACACAGATGGTTTACTTAGTCCAAGTCCATCTCCAAGTACCTGAAGAAAACTGCCTGTTGCATAATATCTCAGAGCAGCTAAGAGTTGCACATCAGGGGACAAGGCAAAATTCCTTCTTGTAGCACGCATCAGCTGAGGCCCAATGACATTGAGCACCTGGACTATTTCTCCTCGTGGCAGACGGTACCTGTGAATGACAGCCATATCATCAAGCATATCCAGAGGATTTTGATGCTGCCTGATGAAGGCATTTATAGTACATAGTGTACTCCGTGGTCGTCTCTGTCTTTGTCTTTGCCTTTCTCTTTGCCTCACTCTCAGCTGGAAAACTCGCTGTAGTGCAGCCATGATTTACTCTGCAAGACTACTGAAGTGTGAACTTTATATACTATCCTAAAATTGCTCACAGGAACCATATGATTAAAGTTTTTCAGGCTGTGATAATATTCACATGTCACACACTGATTGTCATCTATTTCACTAATTGCAGTAGGCCCCACTTGAAGAAACTGAATCATTGATTTTAGAAATTGCATTAATTACCTCTTCCCTGAATTTATTCTCTTGTTAGGTTCATAATGGTCAAAGATTTACATTTATATAAAACAGTGCTAATAAAGAATGTGCACATTAAGAATTTTTCTGCACCTATATGGATAGGCTAATAGATAGGCCCTAATACTATATTGCCACACACATCAAGACTCGAGCTGTAGTAAAATATATACCCCTCTTTTCACAGACAATGCTTAAGCCTATAGTCCAGACTAAAATGTAAGTCTGAGCTTTTTCAACTGAAGGACACTTGCACTGACTGATCCTAAAATATATCAGTCCCTTTGTTTTGTCTCAAGATGGACACCAGTACTTTTTTTTCTAAGGCGCAATTATAAAAAAAAAATACTTTAATCTAATTGAACAATGGCCTAATCCTGGCCCTGTCTGTGAAACTAGCCCATAGGACTTGCATGCTTATTACTTTTTTAAAGAGACTACAAGTAGCTATTTAAATTTGAAACACTTATGATATGATAATATAATAAGAATTCTTGTGCTTTATAGTATTTCATTGAGCCTTAGACTTTGAGTGGATTAACAAACATCAAAACATTGCATTTAAACAATTTTTATTGATTCAAGTTTGTAGTTTGTTCCCCAGGATCTGCAAAAGACATGGCAAAATGTGATGAGTGTACATATGGAAAAGAATATTTCATGTTGCACAACATATTTTATTAAAACATATAATTATTCATGATTAAACAACATTGAACAATCTTACCTGACTCATCTGGCAAGATAATTGGCACTGAAATGGAGGGCCTTGCAAAACTCATCTCCTCCAGTGAAAGTCTCCTCTCTTCCAAAGCCATCTTGGCCTTCTTAAGTTCAATGATTTCCCTCTGAAAGTTGTAATTCATCTCATTGGCCTCTTTAAGAGATTGTCTGATATCTTTTAGAACATCTAATTTCTCTCGCTCCAGCTGTACCAAGTCCTGACTACAACCACAGATATTCTCAAATCGCGGTGTTGTGGCTGTAGCCTGAACAATTGAAGATGGAGGCTGGTCTGTTGGACTGTTGGGAGGACTGGGAGATGGTAGCTGTCTGTCAATAGGAGGTGAACCTGATTGCTCTTGTGAACATGATGGACCTGACTCAGGTTCAGGTTGACGCAACCCTTCTCCTCCATGGAGGTCAATCCCACCACAAATCCCATCTGAGGCAGTTGTTCCAAGAATTGACAGTGCCTTTTCTTCTTCTGCTGTAAGAATGGGGGCGTCATTAGGCCCACCACCTGTTTTATTAATTGTTGTCCTCTGCAGTGCCCTTTTTCTTTTAGCTAGGCTTGAAAAGTCCTGCCACTTCTTCCTGACCTCATTCCCTGATCTTTTAATCCCCCTTGTTGCAGTAAGTTTTGTAGCAATATCGTCCCACATTTTTTGTTTTTCTTTATTTGTGTGACTGCCCTTAAACCTGCTGAAAATTATATGTTTTTGTAGCTCCACCTCCTCTAAAATAATATTAATTTCCTCTTTTTGAAAAATGACTTTTCTTTGTTTTTTGGTTTCAGCCATTTTGCTAGTGTCTCCACCCCTAGGTATGTGCTTATTTATATTTTTGTCCTATTAGCAAATGCACATCAGGTGGGGATAATTAGGCTAAACTTTTCAAAAATAAATGTAAGAGCTTATTTATTTATTTATTTATTTACTTATTTATTTATTTTGATGTGAGATAAGCAATTTTTGATAAAGAAATTGATAAATAATTCTACTTAATTAAGGTTTCATATAAATATCGAAAATGATGCTGATGTCATTTCCGGCAAGGACTGTTAGAATTAGTTTTATGCGAGATTGGAGCAAGACAGTGTTTTTACAGTACGACATTTCCAGTTAATTTATGTTTTTAAACTGGCTCAAAAATATATTTTTTTATGTTATTCGAGTTGAATATACATTCACACAAGTAGAAGAAGAATTATATGGATTGCTATAACATGTGCAACAATAACGAGCCATTCTATAGCGTGACATTTCAGCACTTAACAAACGGATAGCGACTCCTAAGTTGCACTTAAAGCTGGGCTACGTGCAATTGTGTTAAGTGCATTTTTGGGAAACGCACGTGAAACAATAACGAACGTTCGCAAAATGACTCGTAGAAAACGCTCTTAAGTGCTAAGATCAATCGTTATCGGGAAACGCAGCCCTGAGCTGGGATCGAACCGGCGACCTTCCACATGGGAGTCGGTTGCTCTAACAAGGAGGCTAAAGACCATGACCTCTAGCATCCGTCGCTAGAGCACCTTTAGAGGTCAGAGGAGTGAGGTTTACCTGCACAGCACTTACTAGCTGACCTCCGTTACAGATGTAGACTTGGCAAATGATAATAATTGTACTGTTTCTCTGTGGAATGATGTCTGAAGTGTGAAGAGAGATAGTCCTAGTGTGGTTAATCAGGGATAATGAAATGAAAATGAGAGTGGCCGTCTAACTAATGACGCATTGTGATTGACTATGGGATAAAAGGGTGGAGTGAGAGGATTGTGTCACACACTGCACACACGGCCGTGATTTCCACGGTAAAAAACTGTAAAAATGCTACAGTACAAATCCGTAACCTGGTTAACGGTATGTTTCCTTAACTTTTACGGCGAATAAACGTAAATTGACTTTCCCAGAATTCCCTGCATGGCACAACACTTTTTATGCATTTTATTGACATTAATATGAATCTTTTTAGTTGTTTCCTTATCAGTTATGTACATTAAAGATTTATGTTACACCCAATGTTGATAAACAATGTTTATTTCATGACTTTAATTTTATGCGTGTTACCATACTGGTGTTTAGTAGCTGTGTGAATGACACTGAGCACCTTCTATATGCTGATCCTCTTTTCTGCTTGTGGGAAAAGTTGATTGTGATGAGCAATGGCTCATTATGTAACTCCCTCATCACCACCTGCATGTGGGTGTGCTAACGTGTCTAACTGTGTAACAAAAGATGTGTAGATGTTGATCATTCGAAATACAGACATACTCCCTCTATAAATTAATAAAATACAGTAATTTACCGTAAAAATGAAATATTACTTTTACGGTTTGTACCGTGTTTTTAATGGTAAAATACTGGCAACCACAGCTGCCGTTTTTTTACCGTAAATTTTACGGATTTATTTTTTACAGTGTGAGGAAGGCATTGTGCTGAAACGTTTGGGTCTTTAAATCACCCGAATAATGTAAGAAGAAGAAAAAAAAATTACGAAGCCAATTACTTGACGAGTGTGAATTATTACTTTTTTGAATAATAGCTAGAAACAAGACTAAAAATCGAAGGCCCCGTTTATATTAGCACGTTTGAGTTTTAAAACGGCGTTTTAGATCAAAAACGATCCGCACTAGCGTTTCACCTAGCGTTTCTGAAAATATCTCCGTCAACACTACACCACCAGAAACCTATATCACGTGACCATTCGCGCACTCTGGGCATGTGCGTTCGAGTATAAACAGGAAGCATGCGTCTCGCTCGGCATTTGGTTATTGTTTGTTAACAAACGCCGGTTGAACAATGATGGCAAAGAAAACAAGAGAGGTATTTTTGTGGACAGACGACGAGGTCGAGTTGTTGCTAAACGTAACAAATGAATAACTGCACAATGCCGCCTAAAACAGACAATAGTGCAAGCAACGCTCCCATTTCTGTGCCCATGTTGTTGTTTACAGTGAAGGCTGGTCTGCTGTCTTTCGGTAGCATTAAAGCCATGTGTTATAGTCATGTGATAGGGGCTTGACGAATAAGGGAAGGATACGCAATGACACAAAAGCCCCCGCCTCCGTTTTCAGACGTCTCCGATTTCCCTCATCCACACTGAGACGGAGCAGCAGCGTTTAAGAATGAAAACGGCCTCTCCAGCCTTTTCAAAACACTCCATTTTTGGCGCTTGAGAACTCCGGCGTAGTGTGGACGGATGGCGTAACCGTAGCAAACTTATGCATCTTTGGCTCTCGGCGAAGGCGGTCGCTCTTCTTCCCGCTCCGTCCCATATCTCTCCTGCTAGCACCTCTTGTCTCGTCTTATTCTATCTCTGTGGCTCTCCTTGTCCTGCTTTCCAAACGAAAAAGGAATTATGGATTTGATCAACTGGTCTCTGAATGCAATTGACACCATCTTCTCAACGAGATCGCTGGGCTCCGGGGAACCCAGCTGTCCTGCGGGGACGCTCGCAGCTGGATATGTGATGGACGGGTGGGAGAAGTGGAGAGTCCTCTGTCTAGCTGCTCTGTCTCTGGAGGATATTGAAGATATCTACCTATTCGGAACTTTGATAACAGGGTTTCTGCTGATGGGCTTATGCGGGGCCCTGGGATATCGGAAACTGATAAAAGCGGTCAGCGCAGCTCAAAACCCCACTAGGCTGGCCGGCTTGATTGAAACACTGATGGGTAGGGTCGCGAATCAGACTATGGTCCTTGACTGCAAACTGGAAACCATCGAGGTGAAGTTAGCGGCTCTGCAACAAATTTTGGCCAGATCGGGAGACGAGTGATGGACATTAAATATCTGTGAAATTGGCAGATATTGACCTAAAGTTGAAGTATCTTACTGTCTTTTTTTCGGCTCTCCTCTTACTCCTGCCAGACGGCCTCGGCTGGAAGTAAACAACTCCCTGGGATTAGCAAGATAAGCGGACGCTCTGAAATTCCTGCCCCTGTCAAGGACACCTGCGGGACTCTGGACTATGCAGGCTCACACACACACAAACATATCTACAGATAAACATTCACCACCGATCCCCATCCAAACGCCTTCGTGTGCTTTTACCCACGTGGGGCGTGGGCG